TTGGATGAACCTAATGGCAAGGCTACAGTTTTTGTTCTACATGGAAATAGTCAACGACATGACTTAAAAGACAACAGGCAGGAGGTGGAATAATATATTGAGCTAGTATTTTCAGGATTTCAAAGTTGATGATGATTCAAGATGCAAAAAAATAGTGGAAAGTTTTTTCAAGTGATATTGGTCCCAACAAAAAAACTGTAAAATATATTTATGCAACATAATGCACCTTTCTAATCTGCAAAGATGACTGTTGCCCACTTTTCCAAAACTGGTTTGAAATACAAATTAATGGGATGCCACCCCCACCCTCTCCTGATATTAATCCAATAGAAGAGTTGTGGTGCATTTAAAAGATGTATATGAGAAGGAAAAACAATATTCAAGTAGAGAAGATCTCTGAGAAGTAAATAAAACTGCTGCAAGCAATGATGATAATGAAACAGTAGAAAAGTAAAATCAATAGTTGAAAAATGATGGAGGTTATACATGATGCGGCAGAAATACCTCCCACATAATAGTAAGACATTAATGGCAATAGTGTCTTCATCTAGTTAATGTCTTACCATTATGTGGGCGGTACTTCTGTCATACACTGTAGAATGTCAAGGAGCCCATATTGGCATAAAATAATTTATTTAGGTTTATGGGATATTGTGTTAATCTAATGTTTCTATAGCCTAGAGCTTTAGTTGCATAATAAAACCTGAACCTCCACACAAAGAAATATTTTTTTAATAATAGAAACTATAAGCTTAAACCCACATAATATATTTGATCATTTCATCCTGAAAGTTGAGCAATACCAATTTTGTGAAAACATTAACTTGCATAATAAAATCTGACAGCGTACACAATTGAATCAATTTTTCATAAAATTTAAGTTATAATTAATTTTAGTCTATTTTTATTTGAGGGAGGGAAGTTTTGATATGGTAGATCATATATATATATATATATATATATATATATATAAAGAAATTATGAATAAGGATTCTCACTTAATAGAATGCTTACAAAGTAAAACATGGGCAAAAAAATATCAGTCACTTGAAATAGTCACAAGCAATTTAGTCCTTTTTCCCCCACAAAGAAAGGTGGGAAAAATTACATGAACAGGAAAGAGATAGAGAAAAATTACTTGCACTTCAAACTTGATTTACATACATATACTCTATTTTCTTGCAAATTTACTCTGCACACAAGCACCAACAAGGGAGAAGCTTTACAGAGAAGCAAACATCCACAAAATACGAGGACATAAACCAAGAATGCTTTCTAGACACAAATTAGATTTTACTTTTTCTGTAGGCACAGTTCACAAGAGACAGAAAATCAAATTCAAGTGAATTGTTGATCAAGTTGGACAAATTGTTGTCTGTGATAAGATTTGAATACTTTAAATTCTATCAATATAGAAACAATGTAACCAAAAAAAAAGTGTATATATATATATATATATATATATATATATATATATATATATATATATATATATATATATAAACTACAATGAAAAATAATTGCTTATGAAAAAAAAAAAAAAGAACTATTTAAGGAGATCACTAATTTAATTTTCCAGTTACTATTTGTACAATTTCTTTTCAGGCCTTAAGAAAAATATATTGAAAATAGGTGATGAATTCAAAAAACATACAAATTCTAAATTCTCTTTTATCCTACATTCATAATTTGATTGTTTTTTTTATGTTCAACAACAACAGCAGTACAAATGACAAAATGTTTTGAGATAAATTTTGATTTTTTGACAAATTCATACTGCAAGACAAGCAAGATATTTCATTGTAATTATATAACTAGCTTTGTATTTCATGGCTTCTCTGAAAGAATTTGTATGATAGCAATTCAAATACTATTTTTCTAGTTAATAGGAATTCTATTTTATTCACACAATATTTCCATTACATTATTATTGCCTTTCTGCCAACTTCAAAACAATTCCCAATTTTCACATCTACTCTCAGGACAATTCAGAGAATGTGTATTGTATTCTTATGTTAAATTACACACCAACAACCAAATTCCATGCAGAAAACTCGAGGGTATACAAGAATTTCAGAGCAAGGCAATGTGAAACTGCATACAAATAAGAAATAAAAGCAAGTTGAAATGAATGAAGAGAATTCTAATACAGCTGCCCATTGAGTTGGGGGAACAGGGAGACCATAAACAGATTGATAATCACTTTGGGGCCAGCCTAGCCAACAAGACTGGTTGGCTACTAAAGTTGATGAATCATGGGTCAGAATATGTGTTTAACCTAACAGACCCTTTTGGATTAAACAACATGCACTGATGGGAAAGGAGAACAAAAATCCATCATGTGTAGGTCAAATATTATTCTGATGCCAAACAGAAAAGTCATTATTCGATAGATTATGTCAACAGTCTTCAAACAGATTTTTACATAGAGGAAAAAAAAAAAAAAAAAAAAAAGATCATATTCCCAAAATTTAATAATAATAAAATTGCCTTAACAACAGATTCTTTGCCCCATGAACAGAAGTCTCATTTTGCAGGCAGAAAACCATTTGCTTTCTCTCGTGGCCTTTACAATTTTAGTCACAAAACAAAGATTTGCTAAAGTTGTAATAAAGGAATATTAATGTTCAGAATACCAGAAAAGTTTATATCTTATTATCCTATCTTCACTATCATTTTTTGTTAAAAAAAAAAATCTCATTAAAATAATGAAAGTAACTCCACTAGATTAACTGATAGCTTACATAAATTAAAGAATAACTGGTCATAATCTACCTGCTTTCACTAGTGCAGTGATGAATGAAGTCCTCAAAACAATAATATTCAAAAGAATAAAATCTTTGCTCAAATTACTTTATTGTTGAGAAAGACTGAAATGTTAGCATGAAAAAAAATAACACCAGTCTTCTAAAGGTAAAAGATTAGACCATAATCATAAGCTATGGGAGAATTAAAGATAAGTTTGTGAGACTTTGCCAATGATGATGATAAACAGCAAATCAGAAAAAAAAAAAAAAAGATTGCTGAGAAAGAATAGTCGTCAGTAGGACCACAAAACAAGAGAAAATGAAATAAAAATTCTTTTCAGAAAATTATACAGGAACCAAAAGAATGGGTTGTGATGGAGATTTCACTAATTTATTTTCTCTTTTATTTAAATAAAACAAAGTCAAACAGTTCATTTGTTGTGTTTTCAATTTTTTTTTCCAAGTAAAAATTTTAAATGGTAATGAATCTTCTAAGATCAGGAGAAAAAGAGTCACAAATAGAAGAAATGAGTATCAGAAGAAACCTTCGAAGAATAATCAATTGGGATCACAATATAAACAAGGCAACAGAAACACTGAAAAAGAAAACAATGTACTTGGATATATACATACACAAAGAGAAAGACATAATTTAAGATATTAGATACAAACATACTAGTATGTAAATATATACTGTGTATACACATTCTACTTCAATGAAATATGCACAAAGATTCTATTTTCAAAATTAGAAATAAAATAAATAAGAATGTAACCTAACACCAAATACAGCAGGAGAAAATTCTGTACTCCTTTACCAAATGATCAATATATTGAAAGTTGAACTTTTTCAAATCATTTTTCTGAGAATGCAAGCAAAGATTCTGAAGATAACTATATAACATCTCCAAATTGGAGCTATTTTGAGTTACATTCAAAATCATTCTATTTCTATGCTTGATCTTTTTTTTTCTTTGGCAAAATAAAAACTACTCATGGGCACACAAGAAAAATAATTGGACAAATTAGGTAAAAAGAAGATCTTAAAAAAAAAAAAAAAAAATATCAATGATTTCCCTGCTAAGAAAAAATCTTCTCCCTTACTCCAACTGCAAAACTAATTACTAGGTGACTATTTCCACATGAAAGAATGCACAAACCTATTTCCCTTTTAGACAAGTTATTAATTAGTAAACTTAAGCATGGATAATAAAAGGTCAAATTTAATCTAAACAGTTTATATAATGAAAAATAAATAAAAAAAATAGCAGAATAAAACCAGCTCTTTAATTTTTGCACTTCTAAAAACAAAGCTGTAAAGTTATCAAAAGTGATAATGACATTTTAAAGTTAGATTTCATGGCTCCAACTGTTGTTCATGTGATGATATTAAAGATTCACTCAGAAAAATCAAGTTGACCATAATAGCCAGCCTTACAGATTCCAAAAACTTGCAGAGATACAAAAGTGGCAAAAAGTATTACTGGGGATAATCAATTCAAATAATGAAACGGGATAAAGAACTGCAACTGAAGAGAAAATTTCACACAAGTGAAAATGAGATGAAAGTAAGCAACAACAATGTATATATTTTAAAGTGAGTAAATGACAGAATGATGTTATGACAGCAGAATGACACTGAAATGGAGAAGGGTTATTACAGCTTTGGATGAATGTATTTATTATATATCTCACACAAAATAAATTACTGACAGCTGGGTGATTTTAAAATGCTGAGTGAAAGAAAGTGACCATAAGAACAGAAGGGATTTTTTTGTGAGTATGAGATGAGGGTGAAGAAGGTATACAAGAGAGAAGGATATTCACTTCAGATTTCCTTTTTTTCTTCTTTATAGTTAAGGACAAAGTTAATGTTAAAAAAATCAATATGGAACAGCACAGACCAAGAGGAGCTTTATGCTTTAAAAAAAAAAAAAAAAAAACACTTGTCGAGTGGTTCAATTCTGAGAAGCGATCTGGTGGTTTATGTCATTTCAATGGCATCAATTTGGCTTCTTTACCTGCTCAAGCTAAAAAGTTTCCTTGTCATTTCTCCTTCACACAAGTAATACTACAGAAACACAAATGAAGCCAAAGACAGAAAAGGACGAAATGGCAGAGATAAGGAATTAAGGAAGACGCCTTAACACCCAATCTGAAGACCACCTGCTGCACAAAATGACAAATAGCAGGGTTGCCCATGAAATGTTCATTAGCAACAAAAATGAAAAAAGTTATTCCTCTTGAACTGGTTCATATTCTTACATTCCTCCCAACACTATAACCTTCACAACTACTTCCAACAGCCAGGGTTATCATACCCTCTGTTCTGTTATCAATTAAAGGAATAGATATCAGCTAGAGGTTTAATGAAACAGAAGGCCAGTTTTACTCTGGAGACAGTACAACAGTATAAAAAAACAAAAAGTCAGAAAGAAAATAAAAGAAAGAAAATATCATCCAAGTCACATAATGGTCATTGTAAATGTTCCCCCAACCCACTTTCCACATATTTTTTTATTTTTATTTTTTTATTTATCTATGTGTTGATTCTTATTCTTTGCATCAGCAGCTATGCTTGGGTAGTTGCCAGTCTATAGTGTTCATTGCCTTTTATCATTCAGAGTTAATTACACTTCTTTCTTTTTCTCTTGCCTGATGTCTTTCAGATCTTCCGACAACATGTGCTGAGAAACATTTCTAAGCATTGAGATAATCAGAAAAGTGTGCATCAGCCAGGAGCAGACGCCTGATCTAAAGGAGGCACTAGACTACAGCACAGAAGAGTGTAGCAGAAAAGAATGCAGTACAGAAATACACACATCCTAATAGAAACAGTGACAGTGTACAGAAGAGATGACTGCACATGAACACACGCAATTCACTTCAAAACTGTTCCTTTTCCCTCTTTAAGTTCTCTTAATATTCAGGGCACATTTACAAATATTTTTAGTCAATACAGCACATAGTTAAGGATCTGGGAAACCAGAATTGATAATTAGATTATATCTTATATTGGAAAAAAAAAATGTTTAAATGATGTGAAAGTTGATTTGGAAATGTACATGCATTGCAACTTCATTCTTTTTCATTTTCAGCAAATAAAGATATTGTAGAAATAAATTCAGATTCAGAGTGAATCTTATTTCCATTTAAAAAACATTTCCTTTCAAAAAGTTTGAATAAAATGCTGCTTCTATTTGCCATAATCTTCAGAATATAAAAATTCATAAAGAATCAAAACACACAAGAATCATCATTTTCTATTTGGGTGGTAAATAAGAGTATGGAAAATAGTAAGGTTTTTTTAAACTATTAAAAAGTTTTACCTCCTCAAACACAAATCCAGGCAAAACAACACACACATTTAAACTATATTCAAAGATGAAAAAGTAATCACCTGTAAAGCAACCATATATCATAACTAGTCACTTTAAGACAGTAACAGATGGAATATAGCAGTTTGTTTTATTTTTGTAGTGCTTGGCTTCTGGTTTAAATCACATTTTAACAAGAAGCAATAATACTTTTATCCTTCCAAGCAAGCGAAGGAGGATGTTTATTCTAAGATTTTTTTGATAAATCTGTATCTGTCTTTCACCTTTTTATTATATTTATTATTGATTTAAAAAAAAGAAAAAAAAATTTAAATTCATAGAAAAAAAAATTTTATTTGAATGATTTGCCTAGACTAAAAGTAACATCATGACATATATAAAACATGCAACTTACCCTTCGATAAACCAGCGTTCCATCATCCTCATCATTACGTTCCTTTTCCCGTTCTTTGTCACGACAACTATGTTCAGGGGGATTAACTACATTCTTCAAACCAAGAATTTCAGTTGCAGATACTTCTCCTGCAAAGACAATGAAAAAAAGCAAGGCATGAAACTTCAACCCTAAAGAATAACAATCTTAAAAATTGAGAAAATACAAGTGCATAGCTTGATAATGATGAATAACAATTCAAGTAGTGGACCCAATGTAATATTGATGGCTAGTATTGAAAATAGATTGGCAGCATTCAGAGAATTATGGACAAATCTCTTGGCAGGATGAATGCCTTAAGTTGCAAGTGATATTATACAACGTATGTGTTGAAAGTATAAGAACTTTTGGTAAACAAAGTAGAAAAACAAAAAATAAAGATGGGGGGAAAAGAAATCGTAATGATTAGAAATGTAATGTACAAACTTCTAAAAGCATTGGTAAGTGCAGTAAATGATGAGAGGTTGATTGCATATCAGAAAAATATTTAAGGTTCTCTAAAAATTGTTAAATAAGAATGTTATAAAAGAAACTTGAGCAAGTATATCGTACTGGAAAATGCAAGATTCTAGCTGAAAATGTAAATACTATTGAACAAAGACAACTAGCTTTTCCTTTAGAAGTCTCATTCAGGAAAAAATGCAATAACTAAGAATAGAGAGATTAACAGATGTACAATATGTTGTAAGTCAAAGTAATTTCTGGAAATAAGACTTACATTTAACTGATTTAATATATAAATATATATTTTCATTATCTTTCACCTACTGAATTAAAATAGTTCTTTCAGATACAAATAATTAATTTTGAAAGTTAGATTTAAATTAATTATAGGATTTGATTTCATTTCTCTCTCATCTTAAAATTTATTTTAAAATGTTGAGTAGCATAACCAAGTGTTTTTCTTTTGGCACTATAAACATTCTTTGGTGCAATGAGTCACAATAATTGCTTTAATGAAAGTCATTTGCTATTAAATAATTCCTGAAAAATAATTAAAAAATATTTTCTTTTCATTTATTTAAGTGGAAAACCTTTTCTATAGCATTTTTAAAAAATTGCAAATGTCATTGAATTTAATTTATAAATCACAATATTCTTTCAGAAACAACTGAGGGTGCCATTTTTCCAATAAGTTCTTGATGAAAACAAAAATTTTGTTAAAAATATTTGATGTTGATAATAGTAGTTATATCTTGCATAGAACAAAAATTTAAAGTATCAATTGGCTTGTAGATCTGTTTCTGCCAAAAGATAAATTGTTTTCTATTGAAATGAATCACTCTTTAGCCAAAAAAGACTCCTTTCTCTCTCACTGATAAAAATAAATAAATCTGAACTTGCCAACACAAAACAAATAAATTCAATAAAAAAAATTAATATGAAAAAAGGAAATTCAAGTGAACAAAAATATAGATATTTTTAAAGCAATACAAATTACAGAGAATAGAAATGATGTGTCTGCAAGAATTGGCAAGAAAATCATGCAAGAATACTGACAGAAGGTTCAAATGAGAAAATTTATGTACTGATGAAAGTATTATGAAGCGACTGTTTTTCCTTAAAAGATAAAATGGTTAAGGTTGATTAATATAACAAATGCTTAAAGGGAACTGTGACCTCCAAGCAAGAGAAAAGCGAGACAACAAAACAAAAAATCATCAATTTTTAAGAAGTTCTAAATTAGAGAGCATTTACTCACAAAACAGCTTGACACCAATTTTGTCTGTGCATACAATTAAGCAGCACTAAATTCATAATGATTTTCAATTGTAAAATTTTACAAATACAAATAAAATGATTGCAAATGGTTGTTTTCGAAAGCTATTATTTTTCAGCTAGTATCTACCCAAATCAACATCAAATGACATTGTAATTGTGAAACAAGAATTTGTCTAAACAGGAAAGTTTAATACATTTTATTTCAATTGATACTTTTCTCAGCTTTTTACTATGTTGATGATCACAGCTGTTGAACCAGACACAGGTGTGACCAGTTGTAGAAATACAAGTTTTGTCTGATGTAACAAAAAGCATGCTTAAAATCTTAAAAAATTAAAAGCTTAAAATTATATTGGGGAGGGGATTTTGGTAATGCATAAAACAATTAAAAATAGGAAAAAAAAAAGAAAAAAGAAGAGTTAAAATTCTAATGAAGCAACATCACATAAATATCAAATGAAAACACTCCTGAAATCAACAGATAACATATAAAGTATTGCTAGTTCTTCTTTATATGACATGCATCCAAAAAACAAAAAAAAGTAAATATTGATATTTTTTCTCAAAGATCGATTCCATTTCCTTTCAAAAACAACTCGTCGGAATGTTTATGGAATAATGTCAATAGCATTTTTAACATAACATACAAGTACTCTGGGACATTTTCCCAGCTGAATAGCCTTTCAAGAAACAAAATTGAAAAGCCATTTTACGAATACTGATTGTAAGCTTTTGATGTGAGGGAAACAAATCATGATATAGATAGTATCTATAAGAGTGGTTCAGGATTAAACAAAATCCTCCTGACAAATGCTAAAATATTCTTCAACATATAAGCTGCCTTTAACATCTATTGCCATAGGCAACTCCAATGTTCATCAAGGAACATCTGAATATGTTTCAAGGAAAAAAATCAAAGCAATTTCTCTTAATAAACTTATATATATATATATACACATACACAGTATATTTCACATTAACCACTTTTACAAAAAATAAAAGGATTCACAGAAATATTTGCATTCTTAATATACAGGATATTCCATTTATATGTTTTAAACAGAGAAAACTGCATATTCTCCCTTTAAAAAAGGAACCTTTGGGGGGGGGGGTCAACACCTCATAATTGTTGCTGACTAGTATAATGTTAAGAATCACAGGATAATAGGCAAACTGGGAGGAAAAAAGGAACTACAATTAAAATACAATATTAAAAAGTGGAGTGAGAGGGTGGAAAAAAAAAACAGAACAAACAGTTTCAGTGAGTTTAAAAAGGAAAATAGACTCACAGGCCACCCAGTAAAGAAAGAGAACAAATAAATTTCTCTATTCTGCTGGCACAAAGATAGTCAGTGCAATTTAATGTATATACTGCCTCTAAGGTATGCTTTACCCAAAATGGAAAAAAAAACATGAATCCATATTTATATGCACAATCTGTATTATCTAAGAGGTATTGCAGAATCCTGTGCCATCTGCATCAAATGTATTACAGGTACTAATACTCTGCCTGGTATTGCCAGCTACATGATGTGCAATACAGGTAGGTGTTGGGTGGTCCACCCTGTGTAGTCAGTGTTGTACTGACATGTAAATTTATAAACAACCCAACTATTATGTGTGTTTGCGTGTGTGAATAAGAATTATAGAAGACTACTTGTAACTCTTCTAATATGATAAGAGTTTTAAATTTTACAGGATTTTCTAAGTTCCATAAAGTTACTCAAATTCCAAGAAACATTAAGTTGTAATTAAACATTATAGAATATGTGCAAAGTTTACAAAGACAAAATTTGAGGACAAAAACTTGAAAACAGTGTCATCATAATGATGAAAAAGTCAAAGATATCATTAAAGTGAAATGTATGCTCAAAGTTCTGAAAATAATTTTAGAAATTGCTTGTCCATGGATTTTATGAGTGACTGTAATTTTTCATATGAAACAAGACTGTACAGCATCCAGAATAGCATTCCAATTCATTTTTGCTGGTATATTGCTATACACCAATGTAAAGGTTCCTCTTCAGAATATTCCACATTTTTTTTTTTTTTTAAATCAGATTAAACTCAGACAAACAAGCTAGCCACTTGTCCTTGAAACTAATTTTATTCAGATATTCATAAGTGAGCTGAATGTTATGGAGCATTGTCAAATACAAAAATCCTTTCACTAAAAGTAACTGGCTTCTTTTTGAAAAATATCAGGAAGGAGAAAAAATAAATCAATCAATGTATGCCTAAGCTCTCATCTTAAGGCTATTTGGAATTTGACATGGATCCACCACTTTATCACCTATTTATCCCACACCAAAATCGTACACCACTTCCACCTCAGCATTTCAACCTGTGTGAGTTGTTTCAACCTTTAGACCATCAAGGGTAACACAGTATTTGTTGGTGAAAAGATGTCATATATATATATATATATATATACATACACACACACACACACAGTTGTCCATTCCATTTTATCTTCCTGATGAATGTTTTTTTAAAAGAAATCTAGTCATCAGTATCATATCTTTTTGCCACTTGATTTGAGCCATGACATCTTGTGCTTTTTGACACTGTTACAATGCCTAAAAATGTCATAGCTTGACAAAGACTGATTTTTATAACTTCTCTCTTGATATGGGAGACAGATCAGTAAGATAAAGTCCTCATTTTGCCATTATCAGACTTGCATCAAAATCATCCATGATCTTCTCTTCAAAGTTTGGTGATAGCTGCAGACCATTTTTGCAATTCACAGTATTGTTTTACCTTTTGAAAGCTGAAAATGTTTTTAAACATTTCTTGTTATCCATCAAATCAACCTTACAATCCATTTTATAGCTTCAAATTCACAATATAGCCATTAAGTTGAAATAAATTCAGGGTGAGCCATTTGATTAGATCTGTAGAGAACAGACCTACTTTCATTCAAATATCTCAAATAGTTGTTGCCATCTTTCAACAAATAAGCCTTCCAACAAATATTTTATATAATGATAAGACATGAAGTGACTAATAATGTAAGATGCAGTACATATATATGTGTGATGTAATTTAACTTTAAAGATGCCATGCCAAAAATCTTAACATTTAACACTCTGCAGATAAAAAGGAAATAATTTACTCAATGTGGTAACCAGCATTTCAGAGAAATTTGAATCCAAGCAGTACTAACTAAAAAGGTAACTTTTGGCTAATTGTCATTTAGTAAGAGGTGGGGGGGGGATCTAAAAGCCAGTATAAGTAACATGTGTGAGCAACTATACAAGAATCGAAGAGAAGATAAAATGACATCAGTTGAGCAGTTTGCCAAGAGACAATGGCTGAACCATGTTCAGACATCAAATAAAGGTAATTTTAACATGAGAGCTTG